TATATTGACTGTGTCATTACTTAGAGGAGTCTTTCAGCTTTGGAATAAAAAGTTTCTACGCTCTATCTTTATTAGAACTGTATTTGTTGAATCTTTTATTCTGAGGTCACGTGATGACATTAGAATTTCCGGGTCTCTTTCGGTAACAAGTCCTCCCCTGGTCGGAGTCGGAGTTAGTAGATTTTTATGCGACACCACAGCCCTTTTATAAATATTAAAATGGCCCTTTTCAGGGCCAACAACTTTAGTTAAGAGTGGTCAAATCTTATTAATAAACAATTAGATGATGGAAGAATATCAAAGAAAAAATATATGAAAATAAAAGCATAATTCATATGTAAAATATATATATATATATAATAGCTATTTAGCTATTGTTTGTGATTACAGAATCATGTTTAACATATATCAAGTTAAACTAATTAATCTATTATTCTGCTAATTTTCATACTGTTTATAATAGTAACCCTTACGTTAAGCTACCATGTAACATTATGAAGCCGCCTAAGCTTGTCTTCTCTACACCCATTTATTGTTCAATGTTCATACCTTTATAACGGCTCTTTTGTTTTGTATAATTTTAAGTACTGTATTATAACCTTTTTATATGTATACTAGCTGTTACCCGCAACTTCGTCCGGAGAGGTTTGCAAGCAAACCCCATTTACATTCAATATTTCAATAACCATAGTAATTGTCATATAACACTTACCGCTGAAGAGAATTGTCCAGAATCAAACGAACTATCTTCAATTTGATCAATTTTCTGGAACGTTTACAATCGTTCTATAATCGAACCGATACGCAATAACAAATTCGAATTTAAAACGGATCGAACATTTTTAAAATCGAAATGTCTGAAATGTTATGAATTTAATACACCTAAGTACTCAATGAAGACTAAACGTACTTGAAAACAAAAAATCGCATCTAAAATAGCACAGTAGAAGCCGTTTTTTCCGGTTAAGCCTTAATCCTCTCCCTCTCCCCCCGCGGGGGAATTTCGAATTTCCTGACAGCTCTACTGCTGTCAGGACACTGGATAGGAATATGAGTGCAATCAATTGCCCCAATTATTCCTGGAAAATTATCCTTAGATAATAGAGAAAAATCGTGCGTAATAGTCAGAAGTTCGGATTGCGTCGGAAATACAATTTCGGCATTCTTTAGATGTACTAATGCCTTTGAGACGTTTTGGATGGTTCTGATAATGATATAACAATAATTAATAAATAATGCAATATATAACTTAACACAAACGTTAAACAAGACCTCGTAATATATGTAATATATATATATGTATAGTCTCTATCACTATANAAGAGCAAATAATGATTCTTTCATTAACAGTTTTTTCGGTTACTTTCTCCCATACATATAAACGGCTTGCTGAATGGTACATTACAATGTAAATCTCTGTAATCCAAAAAACACACTTTGTTAGACGTATATCACAGCAATTTGTGGTTAGCAAATAAAAACAACTTGCTAACTAGAAATTGCTGTGATATACGTCTAATAAAGTGTGTTTTTTGGATTACAGAGACGAATTTACATTGTAATACTTTCCTTCAGTTTACCGTCGCCCATTGCGAATTATCGAGGTAAAAATGATCGAATGCATATTTATATATTGATTGTGTCCAGTGGCGTACCGTAGTGGGGGCAGCTGGGGCGGCCCGCCCCGGGCAGCACATTTTAGGGGGGCAAAATTTCACAATAAATAATAATAATATCTTGTAAAAATTTGAAACATCCTGATCTATACTTGCATCGCGCCTCCGATAGTGCTATCCTCCGGACAGTCCGGGAATCGGCTCGCCATCCGGGTGAACTAGTAATTTTTTCATCCGAGGAAGTCCTGCGAAACCTGTTGACCTTTTTTTTTTGTTTTTGCTTGTACGATTCATTCGCGTTCATATATACACCACTAATATTCAATGGAACTATTTTAAACAAGTCGCTGCACTACCACCGAATTTTTCATTGCTTGTTCTGTGACAAAACTGAATTTTGGTCTTTTAAATTGAAATACCTAAATAAGGAAGGCCCNCATTTTAAACGTTGATACTATTTTCATGAACTAAAAAAATTGAACAAAATATTTCATAAAATGAAGTTGATACATTGCATTCAGAAGAGCAAATAATGATTCTTTCATTAACAGTTTTTTAGGTTACTTTCTCCCATACATATAAACGGCTTGCTGAATGATACATTACAATGTAAATCTCTGTAATCCAAAAAAACACACTTTGGTAGACGTATATCACAGCAATTTGTGGTTAGCAAATAAAAACAACTTGCTAACTAGAAATTGCTGTGATATACGTCTACCAAAGTGTGTTTTTTGGATTACAGAGACGGATTTACATTGTAATACTTTCCCCCAGTTTACCGTCGCCCTTTGCGAATTATCGAGGTAAAAATGATCGAATGCATATTTATATATTGACTGTGTCATTACTTAGAGGAGTCTTTCAGCTTTGGAATAAAAAGTTTCTACGCTCTATCTTTATTAGAACTGTATTTGTTGAATCTTTTATTCTGAGGTCACGTGATGACATTAGAATTTCCGGGTCTCTTTCGGTAACAAGTCCTCCCCTGGTCGGAGTCGGAGTTAGTAGATTTTTATGCGACACCACAGCCCTTTTATAAATATTAAAATGGCCCTTTTCAGGGCCAACAACTTTAGTTAAGAGTGGTCAAATCTTATTAATAAACAATTAGATGATGGAAGAATATCAAAGAAAAAATATATGAAAATAAAAGCATAATTCATATGTAAAATATATATATATATATAATAGCTATTTAGCTATTGTTTGTGATTACAGAATCATGTTTAACATATATCAAGTTAAACTAATTACTCTATTATTCTGCTAATTTTCATACTGTTTATAATAGTAACCCTTACGTTAAGCTACCATGTAACATTATGAAGCCGCCTAAGCTTGTCTTCTCTACACCCATTTATTGTTCAATGTTCATACCTTTATAACGGCTCTTTTGTTTTGTATAATTTTAAGTACTGTATTATAACCTTTTTATATGTATACTAGCTGTTACCCGCAACTTCGTCCGGAGAGGTTTGCAAGCAAACCCCATTTACATTCAATATTTCAATAACCATAGTAATTGTCATATAACACTTACCGCTGAAGAGAATTGTCCAGAATCAAACGAACTATCTTCAATTTGATCAATTTTCTGGAACGTTTACAATCGTTCTATAATCGAACCGATACGCAATAACAAATTCGAATTTAAAACAGTTCGAACATTTTTAAAATCGAAATGTCTGAAATGTTATGAATTTAATACACCTAAGTACTCAATGAAGACTAAACGTACTTGAAAACAAAAAATCGCATCTAAAATAGCACAGTAGAAGCCGTTTTTCCGGTTAAGCCTTAATCCTCTCCCTCTCCCCCCGCGGGGGAATTTCGAAAAATCCCTTCTCAGTGTGCGTTTCCATGACGTACCCTAACTGTCTACCAAAGTTCACCTCTCTAGGTTAAGCGGTTTGCTCTGGGCGATGATGAATCAGTGAGTGAGTGAGTCAGTCAGTCAGTCAGGACAAGCAATTTTATATATTTAGANTCAATTTGATCAATTTTCTGGAACGTTTACAATCGTTCTATAATCGAACCAATATGCAATAACAAATTCGAATTTAAAACGGATCGAACATTTTTAAAATCGAAATGTCTGAAATGTTATCAATTTAATACACCTAAGTACTCAATGAAGACTAAACGTACTTGAAAACAAAAAATCGCATCTAAAATAGCACAGTAGAAGCCGTTTTTCCGGTTAAGCCTTAATGCTCTACCTCTCCCCCCGCGGGGGAATTTCGAAAAATCCCTTCTCAGTGTGCGTTTTCATGACGTACCCTAACTGTCTACCAAAGTTCACCTCTCTAGGTTAAGCGGTTTGCTCTGGGCGATGATGAATCAGTGAGTGAGTGAGTCAGTCAGTCAGTCAGGACAAGCAATTTTATATATTTAGATCAACTGAAGAGGGACTATTCTGATAGTCCGAAATGCATTTTGGTTATTTCATGTTAATTGCTAATGTAATCGAATGTAGAAATGGGGTCATATGTCTCGTTTTTATTAAATGTACTCCTTTGATAACTGGGTGTTTGCGCTTATTATCACTGGTGTGATAAATCCTTATTATCTACCTCACATTAGTAGGTTTTTTAATTAATTTAATTATATCAAGGGCAAAAAGCAATTCCTTTATATTCTTTATATATATCAAATTCTTTATCACACTCTCTTTTAACTGTCATGGTGGCTTTTTTGAATGTTTTATTGAATGTTATATAAACATTTTCAACAATGCCTCATGGAACTGTACTTCAAGAGCAAGAAATACATAAAATTAAATACAGAAATCATGATTTAAAACTTTTTGGGGAAATATAGATGAATAAAACAATTGTATGAATGTTTATTTAATTTGTTACATAGGTTATGTTAAGTAATATTTTTATTTAAAATGAATAAAAAGAGAATTATTTTGTCTATGATAGGCTCACTCTNATGAATAAAACAATTGTATGAATGTTTATTTAATTTGTTACATAGGTTATGTTAAGTAATATTTTTATTTAAAATGAATAAAAAGAGAATTATTTTGTCTATGATAGACTCACTCTTTATCAAAATTGTATGGTCCTGAAAAGGACCTTTTGTCAAAGTCCTAAAGTACTCTTTCATTTAACTGAAATGTTGCAGTACAATAGATCTTCGAAGAGCAGATCCTGATCCAGATTGCTCATTCATTCTTGAAGTTTCTTCCTCTATTTTTTCATTTAAATGCTCACTCAGTAAGAAACTCCTTTTCTTTAAATTCAATGGCCGAATTATGTAGAATTGCTGTGGCTATTATTATGTTTAGCGTGTTGTCTACTTTAGTTCTTAGACAACTTCCAATGCATGGAAATCGTCTTTCCCAGACCCCAAATAATCTCTCGACGATATTTCTTGCTCGTGAATGAGCTTTGTTATACCGTCTTTCGGCATGATTTTGCGGATATAGAAACGGAGTCATTAAATACGGCAAACAAGGATAGCCACTGTCACTAGTGATGTGCCGGATCGTTAAAAATGTATATCTCGGATACGGATACGGATCATTAGTGTCTAGATCCGCGGATACGGATACGGACCTCAACTTTCGTACTTAGTCGGTGCCGATGCGTATGATCTTAGACCGATATTTGACGCTTTGCGTTAATAACGCGACATGTTTTGACTTTCACTGCGCATGTTTTTTGTTTATAGTGTGAAAGTGTTCTAAATTAGAATTCACTACAAAGGCAGACAGAATAAAGTAACAAAAGTTAATATAATTTTCCAATTAAGCTATTTCGCGTCTTTATACAGATTCTATTTCGAGGGATTCCAACTTCACGATACAAACAGTAGCATGCGAAATTACAGCGATAATAATAGTTCGCTGTATCCAAAACACGTGTACAATACAGATCCCGATCGCGACAATATAAAACCGTAAAACTAACCTTAATAAACACTAACTTAACACTAATAACAGAAAAGGGAGTAGAATTAAGAAGACAGAAAAAATGGTAGACAAGATAGAAATAGTGATATCTGGGGTTATGTCTCTTTTTTCGGCTTGTTTCTTTATGCGTAGTGTTGGGTGGGATAACACACGTCCTATCCTTTTCCTATAACTGGCCAGTTCTCTTCTTCAATAATTAGGATTTTTCCTTCCACAGTCGTCAATACGACCTTAAAACAGGATCTTTTTACTGAACTTATTTCTGAACTATCCAGTGATTGAAAATACGACTCCCAGTATTCTCACCTCGTCCGTACACTCTGCCATCCGGTTTACGAATGACCTGCTACGTCACTTCTCTTTTTTCTCCGGCTCCTGTTTACACCTTTGCTCCTCAAATTTCTAGGAATTGCTCATCCCACCCAAGGGACAGGGAATAGATAAGAAAGTTCTAGAAAAAAATAGAACAATACAACTAAGGGTAGAAAGAAGAAACGAAACTAAACTAAAATTAATATTTACAAAAATATAGCGTACCGCTACAATAGTTTAGTGTAGTGTTTCCCAACCTTTTTTGTGCTATGTTCCACCTAAGCCTTTCTAAAATTCTTATGTCTCCCTAACATATACATCGTTACATCGTTAGTGAAAGGGGGTGAAGCCCGTGCTACTCGGCGGTATTGCACGGGAGGAAGAACAAAGGGAAAGGATGAGGAGAGAGTAGGAGGTAAGGGGAAGTGTAAAGTAGATAGGAAAGTTGGTGAAGGGAGTCATGAGCGCCTGGCGCCGCAATTATTTAAAATAAAACAGACATACAAAAGACGTAAATACATAAGATTACAGAGCGTACATAGTTGATGAACATGCCAAACAGGCCGCTGGCGCTAGTAGAGAAAGAGCCTAGTGCTGAGAGTCGGTTACTGTTGAGGATGTTTGCCTGCTGGAAAATTGGCGGGTTGTCCACAACCCTTGCAGCTGGGGGATGCTCCCCGCAAAGTTCTTAAAGTCCGCAAAGAGTCTTTTATTCTCGATAAAGTCCTGAAGATGGCAGGGCCAGTAGAGACCCTCGGTGAGGGCCGTGTCCCTGAGAGGTTTCCTGTGGACTGCTAGGTCACTGCAGACGAAGATAAGATGGAAGGGATCATCATCCTCCC